CCCGTGATCCTGAGTGTAGGAGTACAGAGCCTGTGGTGGGCACAGGACCCTGACTGGGGTCTGTTTGAGGAGGGCAGTTTCTGCAGCACCCTCAGCTGGTTTTTCTTCCAGTACAGGATGCCAGAAACTATTACCTGCACAGTCAGGCAGCTTTTCCTCTGTTCCTGTAGGTGTGCTGAGTCTGGAGGAGTTCAAACAGTTGAATATCCGTGATTTCCATAAGTACATGGGAAGCCAGAAGGTGAAGATGAGTGACCTGGTGCGCAACAGCCAGCACACCTGGCTGTACCAGGGCGAGGGGGCACACCAGGTCATGAGAGCCATACGGCAAAGGTAAGGGCCAAGCAGCCAAGGGGTGGCTGGGTTTGGGAAGGCACGAGGATCAGCTGTGCTGGGAGAGGCAGGGGCAGACTTGCTAACATCTACATTTCCTAATTGTGTGTAAGTCTTTGGAGTATAAAGAGCAGTTAACACAGACACAAAATGGGAAGAGAAGGTTTTCATTAGAACAAGAATTTGTATTGTCCCGTGGAAAGGGAAAAAGAAAAATCAAACCTTTCAGCATCTCCATTCACTTTTGGGAACAGCCCTATAAAACCAGGAAGATTTGGCAGTATATGAAATACTTCATTCTAATTAGTAAATGAGCTTACTGGGAGAAGCTGCCCATTTCCAATGCTGTCTGGGCGCCAGTAGTTGCTGTCATTTGCTTTAGTTACTCATGCATTTCACTGAAATCTGTCTTAGCTACTCAGAACTGACTTTTTAACAAGCACGACTTCACCTAGAATAAGCCAAGTTAGTTCAATCCTCCAAGCACACATATTGTAGGGCAGCTCACAGCAGATGGGAAAACCTCTTACCCTTCCCTTCATCTCAGATGAAACCCAGCACTCAGACCAAATCGTGTAGCATTGGTGAGTTTCAAATAGTTGGCTGGAGACTCTCTTGTTCTTGTGGTGCTGGTCCTCACCCAGAACATGGGTGGGTAAAATCTGTCCTGAAGCTTGAAAATGGCTGTTGGCCACTCCTTTTCTTCAGCGCATTCCAGCGGGAGAATGGGGTCGCATATTGCCTCGATTAGAGCAGACTGTGGCTGCCACCTTCTCCGTGCCAGCCAGCACACACACCATGTATCAGCATTCCACTTGGACGCTCCTCAGTTGGCTGTTAGGAGGATGTGAAGACACAGTGCTGAAGGAGGCTGTTAGTCCTCCTTGGGACCATGCAGTGCCTGGAGGGGCTTTGCCATCCTGCCCAGGTGCCATGTTCTCCTTGCACCTGCCCCAAGGGCTTCACTGGTCCAGATTCTCAGAGCTCTGAGTGTTCTTTGGCAGGTCTCAAGACGTACCTGCTTACCTTGGGGATGATCTCAGATGTAGCAGTGGAAAAATCCCAGAGCAGGAGGGCTCCGGTCTCCTTGGTCACTTCCAGTGCCCCTCTGCCCTGGGGGAGGCTGCTGCAAAGGCAACAGGGAAAGGTGAGTTAGGTGACAAGACTATTCCTAGAGCTAGTCTCTCGTTCACTCTCAGCAGGGGCCCTGTGCTTTGCTAACTGTCCCTGAGGTCTGTAGGTGGTGTGCAGGAGTCCAGAGAAGTGATGACACATGAAGGCTCCAGGGACACGCACAGAAAGAGAGGATCTTGCTGAGCAAGCAAAGACTTCCTGAGAGCAGTCCTGCTGGAGATGCATCCTTCGGTTTTGTTTTTTTGTTTTTTTTTTATTAACCTTGACAAGGGCGTTCTGACTGATACTGATGGACCAACAGATCTATAAGGACTATCTATAAGGTTATCTCTTGGCATGCAGCCATCCGTCTCTCCGGTCTGTTGGGGAAGGGGGTTCTCTTTCTCTAGATGTATTCACTGCTTGGGAGTAGCATCTGACCAGGCTGAGGGTGCTTCCCGCTCACCTGCCCTGCTCTTCCCCAGGGTGATGCGCCTGACTCGCTTGCCCCCTGAGATTGTGGAGCACAGCGAGCCCCTCCAGGTTGTGCGGTACGACCAGGGAGGGCACTACCATGCCCACATGGACAGTGGCCCCGTGTTCCCTGAGACTGCCTGCAGCCACACAAAGCTCGTCGCCAACGAGAGCGCTCCTTTTGAGACCTCCTGCCGGTAAGCTCTGCCCTGACAGAGTCTGGAATGCGTTAGAGAAGGGGTGTGGAGAGACATCTCACTTTGCCCCGCATGGGACTTGGTGCTTGGATTATGGGGCTCACAAACCAGCTCAGGAGATCACTGCCATAAAGGGGTTTGAAGGAGAAGGCAGGCAAATCCTGTGAGTCCTCACAAGGAGGGCAGAGTGATGTGCAGAGCTGCTGGGCCATCCCCACCAGAGCCTACAAGCGCACTCTCGCTGTTCTGGGTGGGGATTTTCTTTGTTGTCCTTGTGTTATTCTTCAAGAAAAGCTGATGGTGTAAATCATGTGCCTTGTTATGTCTTGGAGGAGCTGCTGTGTGTATGGTGGAGGGGCAGGGTGTGGAGAGCCCCTGTGCCTCTCCTCCAGGTGTTCCATGTGCACCCCCTGACAGCCCCTCTGTCTTGCAGGTATGTGACTGTGCTGTTCTACCTGAACAATGTGACTGGGGGAGGCGAGACAGTCTTTCCTATTGCTGATAACAGGACGTACGAAGAGATGGTAAATGGACCTCACCTTCATGTTACCCCTGGGGATTCTGAGTCCCTCTTTGAATGTCTTCATTCACTGTGACTGCAGAAGGGGGCTGGTGTGTGAGGCTGCTGAGCGTTAGGGAAGCTGTGCTCCGCTTATGGTCTTCTCCCTCTGAGGCCGAGGGAAGAAGCACAGGGCTTTGACAGCTGCAGCTCTCCCTGCTCAGAGGTGTGAGGGGGAGTCCCTTGGCCTTGCTGCCACAATATGAGTCCTGCTTGCTTCTCTCTGAGCACGTTTCCTCAGACTAAGCCTTGGCAGGTATGTTGTGCTCCTGCCAGGCGACGTGTTAAGGAATGGGCAGCTGCTCAGAAACAGGTTATGGACCTCCAGGAGACTGAAACTGGCTACTCTGGGTGGGTTGTGAAAGCCCCTGTGTCACCCTTGAGCTGTCCCTGTGGGGCAAGGAGCAGGGTGATGGCTGGTAGCAGGGGTAGCCCAGTGCATGTGCCTCATTCCAGCCCCATTGGCAACACCTTCCCTGTGGTTCCTCCCCAGTCTTTGATCCAGAACGATGTTGACCTGCGAGATACTCGGAAAAACTGCGACAAGGGCAATTTGCGAGTGAAACCTCAGCAAGGCACCGCTGTCTTCTGGTACAACTACCTGTCCGACGGAGAAGGTATGGGCTTGTTTCAAGACTTGGCTCTTGGGAGGGGTAGACTGCAGGAGGTGACAGCCATCATCTTCTTGCTGTAGCTGGGAGCTCAGAAAACAGCTAAAGGGGATAGCTGCCTGCTAGTGGGAACTGTAGAATCTTCTTGTCACCAGCTGGGTAGGAGCTTCCTGACTCTGAAAGGCCTTTGTTTACAGGCAGTAGGTCAGTGGCTCCTGATGTCTTTGGGGGACGGGACTAGCTAGCAAACAAAGACCTTGGCTGCACTCGCCACCGCCAGCTGCCTCCCATCCTGCTGTGCGAGCTGAAACTCCTGCTGGAACTTGGTCTGCAATTCAAAATGTGTCACTGATGTGGTGTTGCCCAAAGGGGTGGGGAGGGGAGGTAGACAAAGGCACGGCCATCAGCTCTGCAGCCCAGGCAGGCAGGGGCCACCCCACACAAGGCTTGGGGCCGACGCCTGCTTTGTAGCTCAGCCGCAACCCCGTGGTATCTGTCCTTGGGGCTGTTTTTGTCATGAAGCACAGTGTGGTTTGCCCTGACAGGCTGGGCTTTGACATGAATATTCCAGGCTGCTGGTGAGCATGGCTCCAGAGGGTTTCGATGGCAGATTTTGAGCTGTGGTGGGAGGAAGGAGTATAAACTCCCAGGGCCCCTGGGAGCAGCCCATATTTCCATCTCTAGAAAATCCACAGAGAGGAGGTCACAAGACCAGTGTTTGGGCTGTTGGGTGAGAATATCAAGACCATCAATGCTGCGAGAAGAGCCCTGTTGTGTTTTTATGAGCAATTTGTTCCTAAATGGAAAGTAGCTGCTGATGCAAGTCTGCCACAGAAAAACCATGGGACCTCTGTAAAGAGAGGGTAATTTAGAACTGCTGAAATGCAGTCTCCAAAATGGCTATCGGCCTCTGACTTCACAGGCCTTCTACCAGCAGCACTCATCTCTTCCATGCCAGCTTCCCTTTTTGGGAAGAGTTGAGAAAAACAGCTGCTGTGATGCAGAATGCAAGAGCCCCCTTGTGCTGAGTGGAGATGTGGAGGCAATGAGCATTTTGTACCCAGGAGTGTGCCCTGGTGAACTCCTCATAGGCACTAGGGTGGGGTGGCACTAAGATGGAGGGGTGCTAGGAGGAGCTACTCCTGTAAGATGTATCAGCTCAAATCCAAGCAGGCACTGCGGGCAGGAGAGCCGACATCAGTGTTTGCTGGCCAGGTGTCCCGGCACGGTCCCGGCTCTGCCTGCCCTCCTCACCACCTCCTACCAGGGCTCTGCTCTTTTGCAGGCTGGGTGGGGGAGCTGGATGACTTCGCCCTGCACGGAGGCTGCCTGGTCACCCAAGGCACAAAGTGGATCGCCAACAACTGGATCAATGTCGACCCTAACCGCCGGCGGCAGCAGCAGTTCCAGCAGGAGATGGAGCGCTATGCGGGGGCCGATGCGGGGGCCGGGGCCGGAGCCCCGGGCGAGTGGACAGTGGACAAGGCCTACAGCGGGGTGCACTTGGAGCTGTAGGCGCTGGGGCCTGGCCGCGCGCACGTGGCCTTTTCCCGCGCTGTGCGGGGGGGCGGGGCTGCGGATCACGTGCGCGGCGGGGCCGCGTCGCGCGCCAATAAAGCGTGCAGAGACGGGCGCCGCCTCCGCGTGCTCTGGGGGCGGGGCCGCGCGGCTCGGTCAATGGGCGGCTGCCGGGGCCGTGGGGGTGCCGCCAAGATGGAGTCGGTGGCGCTGGTGGCGCCGGTGACGGCGCTGGAGTTCGCGGGGGACGTGTTGCTGGCGGGTGAGCGGCGGGACCAGGACGGGACGGGGTGGGCGGTGGGAGCGGCGGCGGCGGTGGCTGACGTGGTGTCCTGCAGGCACGGGCCCGGAGGTGGTGGCGTTCCGGCTGAGTGGAGGCGGGACGGCGGCGCGGAGGAGCGTGCTGCGTGAGGCCAGCGTGCAGGGGCTGCGGGCCGAGCCGGGCCGCGGGCCGGCGGCGCGGGTGGCGGTGTTCGGTGGGCGCTGGCTGGCCGTGCTGGCGGTGCGGAGAGGGGGGCCGGGCGGGGGACCGCTACTGGCGCTGTGCGGCGGCGGGGCCGCGCGGGAGCTCGGGGCGCGCGTGTGGGAGGCGCGGTGGGCACCGGGCGGGCGGCTGGCGCTGGCTCTGGGCGGGGGGGCCGTGGCGCTGTACGAGTGGCGGGGGGGCGGGCGCTGGCTGAGGCGGGCGAGCTGCGGCGGGGCCGGGGCGCTGCGCTGCGCCGTGCTGGCCGGGGCGGGCTGGGAGCGCCTGGCACTGGCGGCCGGCACGGCGGCGGGGGCCGTGGTGATGTGGCGGGCGGCGGCCGCGGCGGCCCCGCGGCGGGAACTGCGCGGGCACCGGGGCGCGGTGCTGGCGCTCTGCTACGCGGCGGCGCGGGGGCTGCTCGCCTCCGCCTCTGAGGATCGCAGCGTGCGGCTCTGGGCCGTGGGCGATCTGGGCGGCGGTGATGGGGACGGCGCCTGCCTGCTCGTGTGTTACGGGCACGGGGCGCGGGTGGCCGCCGTGGTGATCCGGGGACCGCTCCCGGTCAGCGCGGGAGAGGACGGTGCCTGCCTGGAGTGGGGAGTCAGCGGCGATGTGCGGCGGGAGCGGCGCGGGCACCGCGGGGCCCTGCGTGCCCTGGCCCTGCGCCCTGCCGGCGGCCGGCTGGCCACGGGCGGCGACGACGGCGGCGTCCGGCTCTGGCGGCCCCGGCGGGCGGCGCCAGCGACTGTGGCGGCGCTGGGGGCCCCGGAGCGGCCGCGGGCTGTGCTGCTGGCGGGGCCGCGGCGGGTGCTGGTGCTGGGCGAGGCGGGCGGGCTGGCGGCGTTCGAGGCGGCTCAGGGGCGCTGGGCGCCGGTGCTGCCCGCCCCCGCCGCCGGCGGGACCCGCACCGTGCTGGCGGCCGCCCCGCTGCCCGGCGGGGACGAGGCGCTCTGCGCCCTGGCCGGCGGCGACGGGCGCGTCCTCCTCTTCGTCCTGAGCAGCCCCGGGACCGCCGCCTCGCTCAGGCTGTTCGAGGGGGCCGTGCTCGGCCTGAGCTGGGCCCCCCGCCCCGGGCTGCCCTCCGCCACCGCTGCCACCCTCCTGGCCTCCGGTCCCGAAGGGGAGATGCTCTGGCTGGACGTCGCGCACCGCCCCGGGCAGGCACCGTTCGTGCGGCTCATGGGACGGTACCTGCTGCCCCCCTGCAAGCAGCGCTGGCACACCTGCGCTGCCTTCCTGCCCCAGGGAGAGCTCCTGGTCTGCGGCGACCGCCGGGGCTCCCTCCTCCTCTTCCCTTGCAGCAGCTCCTCGAGGCGGGCTGCAGAAAGCACCGGCGTTGCCAATGGTGTCGCTGACTCGGTCGGTGAGGACTCTAGCAGCGAGTTGGAGCTGTCTTGCTTGTCACACAAAGGGGTCCTTCCCCTTGAGTCCCCGTTGTCCGTGCTCTTTGGGCTCCACGGGAAGACAGGGGTTACCTCGGTGACCTGCCACAAGGGCTACATTTACAGCACTGGCCGTGACGGTGTCTACCGCCAGCTCCACCTGCGGGACCAGCAGCTGGAGGTTCTGCGGAAGCACAGGCCCTGCAAAGGGCTGCAGTGGATCGAGGAGCTGCGCTTCACCCCAGACGGGGATCTGCTCGTGCTGGGCTTTCATGCTGACAACTTTGTGGTGTGGAGCAGCAGGACTAGCGAGAACCTCCACTGCATCCCCTGTGGGGGTGGGCACCGCTCCTGGAGCTACTGTAGCAGCCCCTGGGCTGAGGTCTTTGCCTTCATCAAGTCTGGGGATGTGATGCTGTACTGCTGTGAGGCCGAACCCTGCGAGCAGCAGGTGCTCCTGGCATCCCTGCACGGGCGGGAGATCACCTGTGTACGGCGTCTGGGGGCCATGGAGGTGCCTGGCCATGCCGCCCTTAACGTGCTGGTCACCGGCAGCGAGGACACCACGGCCTGTGTCCTGGCACTCAGTGAGCGCTCTCGGGCAGCTGTGCCCCTCGCTCGCCTCAGTGACCACATTTCTAGTGTGAGGACGCTGGCACTGGCCGGCCCCACTGGACCTGGAGACAAGGGCTTGTCTGCCCTGCTTTTCTCTGCGGGTGGCCGGGCACAGATCGAGTGCTACCGGCTGCTGTGTGCTGGGGACCCAGAGAGTAGTGCTGTGGAGAGCCTGGAGAGCGCTGTGGCCTGCCAGGTCATCCATGTGGCCTCCCACCGGCTGGACGAGCACTGGGAGCGGAAGAAGAACAGGCACAAGCTCGTCAAGATGGACCCGGAGACGAGGTGATGCTCAGGGACTGCTTGAGGCAGGGTTAGTAGTGATTATGACCTGGGAGGGTGATGAGAACCACACTGGCCTCCACTGGGGTACTGCTCTGTGCAGCTGCAGGCTCAGCTGAGGCAGACTGGGCCAGTGTGGCTTCATGTGTGCATTCCTGGTGCCCTGTGGCTTGGCCTTGAGGGGCTTTTGTGGCTAGGGAAAGGCCTACTCTTTCCTTGTGCCTTCTCCGAGTGCTCAGAGCTGCATCCAGCACTGGGCTTGGGCTGCTCTCGTGGGCCATTCACCTCCCCAGGGCCACAGGTGTCACCAAGGCATTGGTGAGCATTGTATCTTTGCTGCAGGTACATGTGCCTCTCTGTTGTACCTGGCACCAGCACCAAGCAGCTGCTGACACCCTGGAAGTTCCTGGCTGCTGCCTGCAGCGATGGATCGGTCCGGTGAGGAGCCATGGTGCAGCATGGCAGGGAGAACAGAGCTGGGGCTGGTGATGGAAGCAGAACAGGCTCTACATGGGAAGCCGCTGCCATGGGTGTGGCCTGTTCTGCACAGGGAACAGGGCAGTGCATGGTGGGAATTGGGGCAGAGATGCCAGGAGCTCCCTCCTCCCACAGCCAACTGCCCTCTGCTCCATCGCAGGGTCTTCGGGCTGCTGGAGGCTGCTCGGAATTTGGTGCTGGTGGCAGAGTCATTTCACCACCAGCGCTGTGTGCTCAAGGTGGAGGCATTCCTGCACACAGGGACAGGAGGGGAGAGGTGAGCCCCGAATGCTGGGCTCCGGGGAGAAGCATTTCTCCTCATAGGGATGGCAGCTCAGCGAGAGAAGGGAAGGGAGGAAGTCAGGGAGGCTGTTCTGCCATTTCCACAGATCTTAGTGGGGACCCTCAGGGCTGTGGCCAGAGGCTCCCCCTACACCTCCCTTCTAGGAGGCACCTCCTGTGCAGTGCAGCCACTGATGGCAGCATTGCCTTCTGGGACATCACCAGCCCCATCACGGACGCAACAGATGCCCTGCACCGAGCGGAGGGGGAGATGCAGCCCCTGGGTGGGTGTCACTGCCAGCAGCCCTGCTCTGCTGCCTGAGGGTGGCCACACTGGTGGCTCCTCTGCTCCCTCTGACCAAGGTGAGCATCACTCTCCTGACCGAGCCTGTCTTCCCAGCCCTGGGTGCCCCGCTGCTCACCGTCATGGCCCACAGCTGCGGTGTGAACAGCCTGCACGTCAGCAAGGTGACAGAGGGACAGTACTTGGTGGCCAGTGGCAGTGATGATGGCTCCATCCACATCTGCCTGCTGGAGGTGGCCCTGGGCAGGGGCGAGGCTGCAGCAGAGACCTGCCTGCAGATCCTGGAGCGGGTGTCCAGGCCCTGTGCCCATGCTGCTCACGTCACGGGTATCCGGGTGCTGCGGCCGGACCTGCTGCTCTCGGCCTCGGTGGATCAGCGCCTGACGCTGTGGCGCCGGGGCCTGGGGGGGCTGGTCCCCCTCAGCACCACCTTCTTCCACGTGCCTGACCTGGCTGAGCTGGACTGCTGGGAGGTGGTGGAGGCTGGGGGGGAACTGCGGTACTACTGCGTGCTCTGTGGGCAGGGCCTGGAGATGCTGTGCGGCACAGCCCCCTCTGAGCCCTCACCACTAGAGGCTTCCCAGGAATGGGGCAGGTGTGCAACACATCCCAGTCCCTGCCTATCTTGGGAGGGCACTCTGCACTTGGGCTCTGCCCATAACTGTAGTCCCTGCCCCCAGCCTGCACACTGATGTGTCCCCTCCTGAGGGGATGGGCATGCTTGGCTCCTTCAGGGGCAGCACAGCTGCATATGGGGTGCTCAAGGCCAGTGGTCTGAGGGGTGAAGGCAGATGTGACCCCTCCTGGAGGGGCCTGTGACTCCCCAGGCAATAAAGAACTGGGGTTGTCAGCTCCCTCTGCCCGGGAGAACCTCCTCCCCAAGGTGTGAGGAACCCATGTCCAGGCTTTCCAGCCCTGGTCTCAGAGAGGAACCTGCTGAGGAGGGCACTTAGGGCCCTGCCCAGTACTGGGAGCTTGAGGGCAGCAGGAGGCCAAGAAGGGTCAGGCACTGGTGGGCTGCAGCCTGGTGTGCCAGCCCTGACCCTGCAGTGCTGAGGATGGTGCTGAAATGCACAGGGACACTGATCCTCTGCTGTAGCACCCTGTAGGGAGCACACATGCTCCCCCGCTTTCAGAGCAGCCTTTCAGCACTGTTTCAGGCCAAGTGGGTTCCTGTGCAGCAGCCGGACTCAGGACAGTTGGAGCAAGGGAAGGACAAACAGCTCTGAGGTCAAACAAATGCAATGTTTGTCCAGCAACAGGTGTATTGGACCCCAGTACTGGGGCTTGGGCCAGGTCCTGACAGGAGCCTGGAGCCTCAGGAGCTCCCTGCCAGCACGGAGCAACCTTCAATAAACAGCTTTGAGGGAAGTGATGTTGGTGCCTGGTTTTGTGGTGGTGACTGGTTCCTGGTGCCATCTCCCTCAGTGTTCCCAGCACAGTTTGTGGGGTGCCACAGGAGCCCTCCCTTTTCCTTACACACTGGGCACAGCTGCAGGGAGCACGTGGCGAAGCCCCAAACACCACAGACCCTGGGAGGGGAAGTGCCTGTGTATGCTCAGGTGTCTCCTGGCTGGTGCTGGGGCAGCCCCTCATCCTGCTGGGGACGGCACACCCTGTCCTCCCCTAACAGCACATTGTCCAGGTGCCTGTCACACCATGGCACAGCTCTTCAGGGGTGGCTCAGATCTGGCTGAGAGGAGGGAGGTGCAGAGTCGCCAGCGCGCTGTGGAACACATCCCTCACTGCTCCCAGCAGCTGGAGGCGGGCAAACATCTGGTCAAAGAGGTGAGGGAATGGCTCCTGTGGGGAGAGAGGCAGCAACTGGGGTTGGTGGCCAAACTGCCCCTCAGCAGGCTGGCCCTAGAGGCACTGCTGCCTCTCCACCCACATGGCTGCCTCCCAGCTGCAGTCCAGCCATAAGGCTGCAGGCTGGGACACCCAACTCACCCCCAGGACATGCACCCGGTTGTAGTAGGAGCTGAAATCCATGCTGAGCTGGATCAGGAACTTGCATACCTGCAAGGCAGACACATTCTGATGGCACAGCAGGTTCTGGCCAGTCTTGGGCCTTTCCCCACCCCAAGTACATCAGGAACAGCCCCAGGGGTGTTGCAGTCTCTTCCCTCAGCACCAGCCCTGTGTTGCTCACGGATGGGCAGCACCTGCTGGCATGGAGCTTTGCCCTGAGCTGGGACTGTGGGAGCAGCACCCAGGGGTGCTATGGCATGTAGCACTTACTGTCTCTGTGTTGGCTGTGATCCGGATCCCCTTGGAGGGTGTTGGCAGCTGTGCTGCCTGCTCCAGGACTTCAGGAAAGGGCAAGAGATAGTTGAAGAGCAGGAGCCATTCACCCTGTGAAGGGATAATGTCTTTTAGGGCCAGATCCTTCTGGGCCAGTAGCATCCATCACTGGAGCTGAGGGTGTGCAGGTCCCCACATTCCCCCTCTCAGCACTCACTTCTTCTCGGAGGCAGGAGAAGTTCAGTTTGGATGCTGGTGGCAGAGGTGGGTATGTCCCTGGAAAGAAGGGAGATTGTTGTGCCTGGAGAAGCCCCCGTGGCTCCAGAAGTGGCTGCTAGAGGAGGGTGGCAGGGCTGGTGCTCACCCCGCTCCACAGCCCGCTGGAAGCTGTCGAAGAGCGTGGCCAGGCGGGCACAGTTGTACATCACAAAGGCACCGCTCTTGGTTCCCTTCGTGGAGATGCTGCTGTTCTCCAGGTCCAGGGTGATCTGAGGGCACAGGCAAGTCACAGTGCAGAGCCACTCCACTGTTCCCACGGCCTGCCATCCCTGGCTCCCTGCACACTGCTGTCCTACCTGGCTCCGGTGAGCAGTGCTCAGCATCTCAAACCTGATGGCAGCCGCTGCCAGGGTATCAATCACCTCCCTCCAGGCCTCATCTGGAAAATGAAGGTGGCATCAGTTGGCTCCCTTCTCATGTACTGACACCCCCAGGCAGGACACCCCACCTGGAGCCAGGTGCTCCTGGAAGCTGGCGACCACCATACTTCCCCAGCCCTGTCCCCCATTGGCACATTCTGCTCTGTGCCAATGCCCTGTGTGTTTAGGTGCCTTCCCCAAGCAAGGTCAGCACCTGGCTCCATCCTGGAGGGGAGAACCCTGACTGGCTGTGAATTCAGAGGTGAGGGGGAGACTCATGGGAGCCATGGAGATGGGATGGAGCTGCACTTGTGTGTGGAGCCACAGAACAAACCCTCACCTTGTGCAAGCTCCCCATACTTCATCACTGAGGCTTCATACATCTGGCGCTTTCGGAGCCTGGGAGAAACACAGACACTCAGAGCTAACCCCTCTGGACTGAGCTGATCCCAGAGAGGACCCCAGGGCTCTACCAGCCTTCAGGCTGCTCAGGGCTTCCCAGCTGCAGCAGTGACTCAGCTAAGCAAAAGCAGCACAAAAGCCCCAGGAGCAGAGCAGAGCCAACCACACCCCAGCAGGCCCCTGGGCTGCTGCCTGGAGAGGGCTTTTAGGAACCACCCAGCTTCTGCCACTGCCTTTCCTCTTAGCAGCATGGAGAGAGGCAGAAGCAGCACTGCTGGAGAAGGCTACTGGAGAAGGTACCTCCAGTTCTCCTGAAACAGCCCTGTGGCCACGGAAAGCAGGCTGGAGGGAGTGCACAGAGCTCTCTGTGTGCCAGCAGCTCACTCAGCCATGACTGTGTGTGCCTGGGTGCCCACGGGGCCAGGCAGAGCACAGGGAGCCTTGGCAAGCAAGGGAGCAACAGGTGCCTTGCACACCAACTCACTGGAAGTACTGGTCTGCCCTGATGGGCGATGAGGGGTTGGTCACTTTCACTGGCCCACAGACAGAGGAGAGGCTGTCAGAGATTCAGAAGCTCCACCAAAATGCACTGCAGGAGAACTGGGTGAAATCCAGCCCTGCTCTAAACCTAGTCTGGAGCACAGGGATACA